CGGTGGCAAAATTGAAGAGGTAACCTTTCAAAATAAGAAAGAGAAAGGTGAAAAAAATCCCTTGTTCTCTTACTATATGTATTTTCCTTTCTCTAATCATTTGGACACTTACTTGAAAGCTGCTTTCAAAATCATTTAATACCACTTCTGACCTCCAAAGAACTCCTAAAATCCTGTTTATCCTCTTAGTTCATATTCTTTAGTGATGATGATCAAACTGTATGTTTGATCACAACTGTCTGTAAATCAAACTTTTACACGTGAATCTTGTTTACCAAATTAATGGTCACTGAAATACTGCTTTCCAATGAATGTTCTGAAGCAAAAGAAAGTGTCTTTCCTAATTTCATATAAGTATTTCAGAGACATTAAGCAGGAAAGTAACTTTAACAATAGTATTAAAACAGGGTGGTTATTTTGGTCTTTTTAAGAAAATCAACATACACAATAAAGTCTCCTGGAGTAAGACAACAAATGCCTGAGACATTTCAGTCAAGTAAAATTTGAGATTCCTTCAAAAGTCTTAAGATAGAAGTTTATTCCTGTTGTTTACCCTTTTTCTATTTTGCATTGACTTCCTCTTTTTAGTCTCCTTGAGAGGCACTATTGCCCTCTTGGCTTACTTCTGAATACATTCAGCGCCAGAACAACAGTAACAAGTATTTCCAAAGACTAACCAGCATTTCTTTGTATTAGCAGTGCTGAAGCAAAGAAAGGTGGCAGGGAGAGAACTATGTGGCATAGGCAGTTACAGGCAGCAAGATGTATACTACAAACCTTCAGAAATATTAAATACCAGTTTATTGACAATGGATTTTAAAATAACATTGGTATTATTTCCTCAGGCAATGACACTGTCACAAGCACTTTATTATATTTGAACAGTTGTATTATGACTTAAGATCACAGTTACAGTGCATACAATGATAAAATATTGGTAAGTGCCACTGTAAATATAATAACTGCAGATGGATCTAGACAGATTGGAGCATTGGACAATCATCAACAGCATGAATTTTAACAAGCTAAAATGCTGGATTCTGCACCTGGAACAGAGTAATACCAGACACAAGTATAAATGGGGAGAGGCTGGAGAGGAGTCCTGCAGAAAGGGACCTGGGGGTGCTGGTTGACAGCTGGCTTAATCTGAGTCAGCAGCGTGCCCTGGCAGCCATGAGGGCAAGCTGCATCTGGGGTGCTTTACACACAGTATAAGTAGCTGGCGAAGAGAGGTGATTGTCCTGATATATTCATCCTGATGTACTCAAGATGTGTAGACTCACCTTGATTACTGGGTGCAGTTCTGGGCCCCATGACTTAAGAAGGATGTGAAGGTCCCTGAATGCGTTCAGAGGAGGGCAAGAAAGCTAGCTAAGGGCTGGAAGGAATGTCCTATGAGGAATGTCTGAAGACTTTGGAGTTGTCTGGTTTGGAGAAAAGGAGGCTGAGAGGTGACCTCTGATTGCTCCCTACAGCTTCCTGAGGAGGGGAAGCAGAAAGATGTGTTGATCTCTTTGCCATGGTATCCAGGGCTTGGACACTTAAGAATGGTTCAAAGCTGCACCAGGAAGGTTTAGACTGGACATCAGGAAGCATTTCTTTGTTGAGAGGGTGAAGAAACCCTGGAACAGACTTCCTAGGGAAGTGGTCAATGCCCCAAGCCTGTCAAGTGTTTAAGAGGCATCTGGATAATGCCCTTAATAGCACACTTTAACTTTTGGTAAGCCCTGAATTAGTCAGGTAGTTGGACTAGTTGTGGAAGAGACCTAGATGAAAGGGACCATCTAGGTCCACTCCAACAGAAACAGACTATTCTATTCCAATTCTATGGTTAGAAGTAGTAATGGTAGATCTAAACTGCACAGTAACTATCAAAAATATTTGAGGCATTGGTAAGAATGAAAAGCACGTGAGATGATAAGAATGTTTTAGTTATTCCCCAAATTTTACTTTGACCTTTATACAAGGGACTTTAGAAAATCCCCAGTATTTGTTTCAAACAAAACCTTCCAACTTCCTTCTCAAGACCTCACAAAGATTCCACTTTCCTTATGGGTTAGAAATGTAAGAAATAACCCTGAAATGCAAAAAAATGATTTATTAAATGAGCTGTTAGCCACAGGTAGAATGAATTACTTCAGATCATTCATGTCACCTTTTGGAAACCTGACCTTTCTGGCATATAAAATATTCTCTTATTATGATATCACCTCTGATTTAAATACTGAAATATGCAGAGGTCTAGCCAGCCCTTAAGAAAGTTATTTTTATATGTAATTTCTAGTTATAAGCCATAGAAAAGTGGCAACCAAACTTCCTTCAAGTAGTTGCTAGCATCTTTCATAACCATTATCAGGCTTTACAACCCATCACATGCTTCATGTGGTAAAAATACCCGCCTTTCTTCTGCACTTTAGATATAGACACATTCTATATAGATACATACTATTCTCCTTATGATAGCAGAGGAAGCAGCAGTCTACTGAATTGCTTCCCTCCTACCAGCTTGTATTGCTTGTTTTCTGTATCCCTGTAAACTCTCATACGCAATTGTTTTAGGTGCAAAAGGTGCTGAAACATTTGCTGTCCATCAACGTTTTGATATTGTTGGGTAAAGTGGTTTTGGCCAGTCCTGGAACCAGTTGGAAAAACAAAATGCTTTTTATTTCCATTAAGGGCAAATTTTCTTCTGAACTAAAGTACTTTAAAACTTCAATAAGAGTTGCCACTTTGCCTCAGAAAAATAGAACTAGTGGTAAACAACATTTCCACTTTCAAGTGACCAAGAAACTTTCCCTCCCTCTTATAAATCTGTGCCCATATTAAGAACATGTATCTAGCAATATATCTAGTATTAGTTCACACTGACAAACTCTCCTAACCTTTGTAAGAATAAAATAATGAGGAGGAAAAAAGAAAAAAAAAAAAGGAAAGGTACGTAAGACTTCAGTTTTACCAGTAAAATTCTTTATGTGCTAGGGGAACCTCTCCACACAGCTACACTGGTTGTTAGTCATGCAGATATTTCTAGAGTTATCATCTGTTAAAACAATGATGCGCAAATCTTTATGAAAAAGCCTTTTCATCACAATCTTCTCTAGTGTCATAGTCAATGAATCACTAAACCAAATTCTCACTTTCAGAGCAAATTATGGTCTGGACCTTTCTATGTGTAACAGTCAATACTTACTTTTCTTCTAAATTCAAAGTCTTTTCTCCATCCTGAACAGTGACTACCATATTAGGATTGCTTTACAATAACCAGACAAGTATTTGTCTGAATTAAAAAAAAAAATCAAACCCTATTCCTTTCCTATAAAAAGAACAAAATCACAGAAATCCCACAGCAATTTGTGAGGTACATTATATGTGCACGACTTCTCCCAATGGGAAATGTTAATTTAGTAACAATTCTGAAAAAAAATGATAACTGAAAGGAACATTTGCAGTCATTTACTTGGGTCATATTTTAAACACTGAAGGGTTTTGTTTATTTAATGTGTTTTGCTCTGCAGTGAGGCAACATTCCTTACCAATGCACAGAATTGTGCGCAATAAAATATTTCTCATTGCCAGTAAGTACTAAAACAAATCTCTGAAATACAGAAAAATGATGAAATTAGAGAATTGTGTCACTTCCAAACTTCCAGCTTTATTAATTGCATAGGATTGTTTCGTAACTGTGGTAGAGACTACAAAGCTGCATGAAAAACTCCATCTTGTGAAATACACGGTAGTTATCCATACCACAGACTGGACTTAGCAGACATGATTTTAAAGGAGCTGAACAACAAATATATGCAAAAACAAAAACAGAAAAAGGATAGCAAACAATGACTTATAAAACTTTTCACCAAGATAGTTTTCCATACTACCTAACCTAACCTGAATTATCATTTACCTCTTAAAACATATGCTTCAGGGGTATTTAAAAAATAAAAAACCAATGTCTCTAGGTCACATAAACTTGTGTTCTCTGTTTTGCATCACTGTGCAAGCTCCACTGGAGCTGCTGCCATCTAGATGAAAAGCAATTTTCCTTTTTATTTGTCGAATTGAGAAGAAACATGCTTAACTCATCTGAAAACCTATCTGTAATTGTCTAGCTCAGCTTAAGCTCTGGTGTAAATGCCAGTAGTACTAGTAACTTCTCCTCTAACTTGTAAACATACATAAATCCGGCCTACCTTCCTCTTCCAATTGCTACAGTACTCTCACCACACTGCAGGACCTTACTTCTGAGAATACACAGCTTTTTTAAACTAAACCCACAGCAGCACTGCCCGCATAAAGACGCCTGGGCGGGATATCCCTCTCCAAGTGAGACCACTCTTTCACTCAAGCTTTCTCTTTGGATCAAGGCCCCCAGCAGCGACGCGTGTGTGAGGTGAAGGAGCCCCACTTCTCACCGCTGCAGTCCCGGGGACTCTCCACCCGCAGGGCGCTGCCCAGCTGGGTGCGGGCGTGTCCCGGAGCTAGCGGTGCTGGGCCACCTCCCCCCTGCGCTCCCCAGCGTACAAGGATGGGACACTCACTGCCGAGCCCCTTAGCCTGGCTGAGGAGCGCCTCCGAGTCCGGCTGCTCCGAGCTCTGCACAGTCGCCTCCTTATCGACCACCACCTCCTCCTCCTCCTCCTCCTCCTCTTCTTCTTCCTCCTCCGCGGAGCTACTCCTCTTCTCCGCTGGCAGCAGCTTCTCCTCGCCTGCCCGCTCCAGCCCCAGCCAGCTGCCCAGGCCCCGCAACATGGCTGAGGAGTGGCAGCCGCACTGGCCCGTTAACGGGCACTCGAAGCTCTAAGGGGCTACTAGCTCCGAAAGCGGAAGCGCAGGAGGCTCGATCCTTCCGCATGCGCCACTTCCGCCACCGCGTGTGTGTGTGTACAAGGGGGGGGGGGGGGCGGGGCGGTGGGGTGGAGCCGGCATGGGAGGTGGGGGAAGCGCCACTGTTTCGCCTTGGGTTCTCGCGCCGCCGCCCGCCTGCTCTGCTCCTCCGCCCGCGGATGCCTTTCCCCGCCTTGACGGGGTTACTCTGCGGCGCGGGGCCGGTAAGGGCTGCTGTCGTGGCGTTTCGCCGTCCTCTGTGGAGAGGTGCTGCTTCTCCTCCGGGTGTTCGCTTGAGTTCGGCAGACCCTGGCGGTGATCCAGCAGTGGTTACCACGCAGCGGGCGCACCTCATCTTGGTGGGACAGCCATCCGCCTTTACGACCGCAAAGGTGTCGCGGGGCGGCGAGTCGCAGTCCGGTGACTCACAGTAGCCTGGGAGGAGATTGCCACTCTCTTCCCCCGCCCTGCCGCGATCTTCTGCGCCGCCGGCCTGCCTCCCGGCCCGGCTTCCGCTCAGCGGCAGCCCTCTCAGGGCACTTCACGCCCCGCACCTGGCCCTCAGGTAACGGCCGCCCCGAGGTAACGGCCACCCGGCGCTGACGCAGGGCAGGGTGAGGGCAGCCCCTCTGCCGGGACCGGCTGCAGCCGGATCCTCGCTGTGGCGCAGCAGTTTTCGGGTGGAGCGCTTCCAAATTGCTGCTGAAGGCAGCAAGTTTCTGTTGATGGGGCAGAACAGAGTAAATGTTCCTTTCCACTTGTGCTGATTTCCTGTTACCAACAAAATGCCTTTTCCCAGTATTCGCTTTTTGCTTTCCCTCCCCTAACTCTTTCATTCTCCTTTTACAAGTAGCTTCCCGACCCACCTGGAGTCCTTTGTTTCTATTGGAAGTAAGCTATGTATTTCCTTAAGCTGCTGGAAAGTCGCTGTTCTTGCTAAAATCACAGCGGGCTCTTCATTGTGGTTCCTCTAAGCAAGGTAATAGGGCTCATGAGTTTTGAAGCAGCATGTGCTCGAGGTTTATACCTGTTGTCGAAATAACTTCTCTTAAAATTCTAGGCTACTAAAATAAATTGAATACTAAAATAGCCGGAGAAAGTTAATTCCTGATTGAACCTGTTCTCCTCAGTTAAATATTTTTGATGCCTGTAGTCTTCCTTTTGTCCATGTTAACAAGGAAACACTAGTAGTTCCTGTTATCAAGAATGATGACATTGATGATATTTTTACATTCTTGAACTCTAAGAGGAGTCTCCCCGAGGACGCAGGCCTTGTCTTCAGTATAGTAAGAGGAAGGCTTACAAAGTGCATTCACTAGCTGCTGCTTGCTGCCAGCAGCTGAAAACCATACTGTGTTGATTTATACTGAGTTCTTAGGTCATGTGTTTTTGCATGTTGCTTTGGATGAATTCAGTACTTGAGTAAGGAAAAGATTTTCATGACTTTAGAAGTTTTGCTCTGGTGAGCCATGCTGCCACTGTGGAAAAATTACTCCACTGATTAGCCTCCACAGCTGCCTGAATGTAATATGAATGTGACTATGAATGAGATACATCATCCTGTTTCAGATGGGGTGGAAGAATGGTGGCAAAATCTAGGCTTGTCTGAAAGCCAGATGAAGGAGGAGACCAGCAGGGACAACATCAGCAGAAGCTGGTGCGAACAGCAGATCATAGCAACAAGGAAGAAACCTTTCTAGTTAGGATAGTAATTATCAGAATGTTTAGGGGGTGGTTTCTTCATCTTTTTCTTAATAGTTCTGGATACTTTACCATTCATACTCCTACACAGTGCAAAGTGGGATATGTGTATTAGCATCTACTGCATTATTCTCCTCCCAGTCATATGATTTATCTAGTATGATATTTGAATCCCTTATTTCATTATAGGTCTCTTACAAAGAACCAAATTTTTAAGAGAGTAAGTTTCTGTACTTGAATAGCTGTTGTTGCCAATGCTGGTACTATTCCAGAGTGATGGGAAAAATGGTATTGTATCTGATCGAGGCTTCACCACACATAATTGGCATTAACTGTTGTGTTTCTTTTTTTAGGGTATGAGGTTTGTTGGGTATTCACAGTTCCGTCCTGTAAAGAATAATTTATTTCATGGTCTAGACAGGGAAACAGAGGCTCTGACAAGTTGGCCATGCTATAGGTCTCAGAGCTGCTTTATCCAGGGCTGCCATTCTGAATGCATGATGAGTGTCATGGGCTTTTCTCTAAATGTGAAACTTAAAATGAATAAAATGTTGTTTTCTAGAAGAGCATTAACTGTTCCTCTACATTGCAGTCCACACATGCTAAGTGATTCTTTTTTTTCTCTCAGAGTAATTACACGGAGAGGGAGAATGGGTAGGACTGTGAAGGAAGGACTCTAGGGTATTATAAATACAGACATTCTGGTTCAGTTTTTCTTTCTTGGTCTCATGTTCTGTTGATCTATAGGATACTGTAAGACTTTGGGTGAAACAGTTGATACACTATGAATTGGAGGAGTGAAAGCTACTGGAAAGTGGGGTGGATGCTATAGCCCAGTTTTAATAAATTTTTGAAGCTACAGTCACTTTTTAAAGGTAAAGGTACTGGATAGAGCATGTGAGTGTTCTGGCTAATGTAGCAATGAGCTAAATTCTTAAAATGTGAAGTTATCAACTGCTTTAGAAAAAAAATTCAGGGTGAGATTTGTCTTGCCTGACATGTGATTCTGAAACTTAGGTGGCTTTTCCTGTCACAGGAGAGGGATATGGCAGATGAACTGTGTTTCTCTGGCACATCCATGGGGCAATGTATCAAAATGGTATCTGGTTTTCCATTGCCTATGGAGTAGATTTATGCTTATGGATTGGACTGTAAGATGGGAGAGATGAATCCTGCTCCCAGATTCCAAAATGGTAATTTTTGTTGTCTGTTTCCAAAGGTCATTTCAACCTAGATTCTTTGTTTACTGAGACTGTGTTCTTTCCTAACATGAATTTGCATTCATCAGATGTATGTCTTTGTCATTTTAGATTTTCAGCTTGAGATCTGTGTGCTTGTGCTGATTTTCTGATGAAGTACATTCTGGTAACTGGTGGTGTCATCTCAGGCATTGGCAAAGGGATCATTGCAAGCAGCATTGGCACCATATTGAAATCATGTGGTCTGCGTGTCACTGCAATCAAGATTGATCCTTACATAAACATAGATGCTGGAACCTTTTCACCGTATGAACATGGTATGGAGAGCAGTGCTGTTCTGTTTTGCATAAATATTTGTATTCTTAGTAGGGTGGTGTTTATGGTGTCTTTAAAAAAACAAACAACAGTAGTAGTTAGTAATTTTATAATCTGTTTTGCAATGCAAATTCCTTCCTTGCTATGTGTTCTCAAGGGCATTGTCTGCTCTAAGTAAAGAGAGATAATCTGTTGAAACTACTTTTGGAAGTAGGTGCTTCATTTCTATAAAATCCCATTTTGTTAGGAAAATCCTAGCTGTAGGCCTTGTTCAGTTATTTTCAGTTCAACTTGATTAAAAAAAATAGAATAGTGGTATAAAACTTATTTGAAACTGAAGTAGTTAGCAGTTACTTATGAATGCTGTTATCTGGGTGTCAGGTGTCAGTGCTTTCTAGTGTAAATGTCTTCATGAGGGTTAGATTAAGTTCTCATCTAAGTCTATAAGGATCTAGTCAAAACCATCAGAGAAGCTTAATAATACCATTAGTTTGTTTGGTTAGTTCTCTAAACTACCTTGATTGTATTGACTACATGATGAGCAGCAGGTCAGTCTGTCAATATTTGTAATGTTGCCTGTTCCTTCAGTTCTCTGGCTTGTTACTTAGACATTTATTAAAAATGATGTTTTAAAGTTCCAAAGTACCTTCAGCCAATAGACATTTCTAATTCTTTTTCTTTGTTAGATTTTTTTCTGCCTACTTTTAGTCTAGTCCAAAAGTTTTGGAACTGGAGGTAAACATATCTCCTCAACTAAAACAAGACCACTTTGCTTTTTTAAGTGGAAGAGCACAGCACATCAGACCTCTCCCCAGAAGCAAAATTTAACTAATTAGATCAGGTACAGGGGAAGAGGGGACTTTAGGGCAAGTAATACCCACATGATATTCCCCCCCATTCTGTTCACTTAAGAGTTTCTTAATGTTTGTGAAGAAACATCAGCTTTCTGGATAGTAAGTAGAAATTCACACATGCCAAAATGGCAAGCCTCTTTTGTTAACATTTTGGCAGAAATATGATTGAGTCACAGGATTTTAATTTAGAGATTTCTGGTTAACATAAGAGGTTTTTTAGTAATATGTTTTTCAGTTCTTCCAAGGCCTACATATGAGAAATCTTGGTTCCACTCTGTGTCTGGCTTAGATGGTAACTTAGTATTAGAGAATGTAGTCAGTGCCTCTCAGGATCAGGGATAAGTCTTCTACCCTTTTGTAAGCATGGAATCACAGAATCATAGGATAATTAGGGTTGGAAAGGACCTTAAGGTCATCTAGTTCCAACCCCCTGCCATGGGCAGGGACAGCTCAGTCTAAACCATGTCACCCAAGGCTCTGTCCAACCTGTCCTTGAACACCGCCAGGGATGTAACATTCACAGCTTCATTGGGCAACCCATTCCAGTGCCTCACCACCCTCACAATAAAGAACTTCTTCCTTATATCCAATCTAAACTTCCCATGTTTAAGTTTGAACCCATTACCCCTTGTTCTGTCACTACAGTCCCTAATGAAGAGTCCCTCCCCAGCATCTCTATAGCCCCCCTTCAGATACTGGAAGGCTGCTATGAGGTCTCCATGCAGCCTTCTCTTCTCCAGGCTGAACAGCCCCAACTTTCTCAGCCTGTCTTCACATGGGAGGTGCTCCAGTCCCCTGATCATCCTTGTGGCTTTTGTTAAACTCTTCATTGGACTGTTGTGTCTTGGCAAGATATATTTCTGTAGTCCACACTACCCTTTCAGGAGGACTCTTTTCTCCTTGTGCGCTGGTTCCGTAATCTGTTTAACCATTGGTTTATTGAGTCATGGCAAAATATTTTGGGTTTTTTTTTTTTTCTGAAAAGCTTTCCAGCCTTACATCAAGATCTAGCAACTTTAGTTCCTTCAGAAGTTGATTAGATTCAGAATTTAGAGTCTCTTTAGAGGTCTACGAAAAATCTGAACCCGAAGAATATTTTAGTTAGATTTTTCAGGATCAGAACGCTTGGTGTGGACATAGGGTACTAAATGTACAAGATGAAACAACTGAATAAGAAACAGTGGTCATGCTTGAAGAAGCATTTATGTTTAGCCTAACTTTACTCCTAGTCCAAGCCACAATCATTAAAATAGATCCAACCAACAAGAATTTACAGTGAAACACTTTGAACATGCATAATAATTCATGCTTATAAAAGCAGTGTTTTGCAAATTGCTGTTTTATTTGTTGTTGATTTATGATTCCTGGAGATTGTTTTCTTCCAATCAGGGGTTGTAGTATGCTGTTAAAATGCTGCTTAAATGTTTTAAGTCACTTAAATATTTTGGCAATGTAATTTAAACTTATTTGCAAACTATATGTGACTGAGGGGTAGACTAAAAGTAAAGACTTAATATCCAGGTCACACAGAATGACAATGCAGATCGAGCTGCATCATGTGCTTTATTGATAACGTTGTTGTAATATGTCATTTTAAAAAATATTTCATAAATTTTAAGAGAAGTTTGTGGTGTTCCTGCTGTGTGTTTAATAATTCCTCATTATTTTACTGCTTTTCTGTTGGTTTTCTCTTTATTTTTTCAGGTGAAGTTTTTGTATTGAATGATGGTGGAGAAGTTGACTTAGATTTGGGAAATTATGAGAGATTTTTGGACATCAGTCTCTATAAAGACAACAATATCACCACTGGAAAAATATATCAGCATGTCATTAATAAAGAAAGACATGGTGATTACCTGGGGAAAACCGTTCAAGGTGATATTCTTTATTCTGTGGGATACTTGTCCGTTCAGTCTTTGCTGAAGCGATTAGCTAGAACAAGCTATTCCCTGCTGCGTCACTTTATTCCTTTCTTTTTCCCAAGAGTTTTGGGCATATTCCTGTAATGTTTGGCTTCTGGGCTCAAGGAAAAGAGAAATAGAAAAAGGAACTACTAGTTTCCTTGTGATATTTTTGCTCATTTTCCCCCTTTTGCATGCAGAACCTGGCATGTGGGTCTCAAGATATGCTTGCTTGCTTTGTTTTTTCTTCTTGTAGTTGTTCCACACATCACTGATGCCGTTCAGGAATGGGTAATGAATCAGGCAAAAGTTCCAGTGGATGATGACAGAAAAGAACCACAAATTTGTGTAATTGAGGCAAGTATAGAATCTTTTAGGATATATATTCACAATGAACACAAAACAGCTAGCTTGTTTTCTCCTTGCTGCTTACTCTAAAAAGGTCAGACTGAAGTTTTATGGAGAGCAGCAATGCAAAGGCACATTATATTTTCTTTGGTTTGTTCTGAAAATGACAGGTGTAGTCTTTATCCCTACAGCTTCTGTTTACTTGACTAAATCCCTTCTAGAACACTGCTGAAACTAAGCTGCTTAAGAGTTTTCCCTTTGCAAAACCTTGAAGGAGTTAGACTGAGTATGTGTGTCATGTACAAATGTAGTCTGAAGTTTTCTGCTACTGGGTGAACACAAATGTGCAATTCTGTCAAAGGCCACTTGATGGCACAGAACAGTCATGAAATATGACTACTCCATAAGACATAGGTGCTAAACACTGCTTTATTCAGTGCTTAGTCTACTTCAGCTCTTTGTGTCTTTGGAAGACATCTAATTCCTGTCTTTGTAACAGGGACTTTGTATTGGGTGTTGGTTTGGTAATATAGAAAGTCTTGCATAATGTCAGGTATTACTTCATGTTGTCCATATGGCTTTTATCAATGTTGGAAAGTTATGATAATACCGCTAAATGCCTGTATTTTGTTGGTCACAACTGTTCATTAATCTGACAGACAGGAAAATAAAGGGTTTTTGTGTCTTTTGCCTATACAGTTAGTTGCATGCCATCCAAAGCAGCAGATGTAAGCACAATCATTGCAAAGCCTGTTAGGGGGAAAAAAAAAAACAAACCCCGAAGTAAAACACAACAGCAGTCATTGGGTTTCTCCTTAATGTGTGTAAACTCTTTAAAAGCACATATTCTGAGTAGTTGTCAAAAAAACAAAACTTTAGTTTGAAATAGTTGTGGTTCATACTGTCAGCATTGCTCATTGTCAGCCCTCACAGTTGACCTGGCTCACTGGACAGAACTGCCAGAGATTGCCAGGAGCCTGGGGTGTAATACAGGTGACTCCCGTAGAGGGAGATGTTGCTTTGCTTCTGCCTTATTTGGAAGCTTTTATCCTTCACTATTGATTACTTGTTTACCACTTCCAAGGCATCGTCAAAGCATGTATTATTCAGTAGCACCACTCATCTTCCCAGGGGAAGCTTATGTGTTTGATGTAAAGTGAATATAAAAAAAACTTGAAAATTGTTCTGTTTTCCACAGGAAACAAATATGCAGAATAGATCAAGGCTCTTTGCAGAGTGTGCCTGCAAGTTTCAATTGTCTTTTTTTTTTTTTTTTGAAGGTAAATATTTCAGAAAACTTGGTAGAGGTAGACTTTAGTTTGGTTGGTTTCTTTTTGCTTTCCGACACTGACATATCTAAGCTTTCTTTTTCAGCTTGGTGGAACTATTGGAGATATTGAAGGAATGCCATTCATTGAAGCATTTAGACAGTTTCAGTTCAAAGCAAAAAAAGAGAACTTCTGTAATATCCATGTTAGTCTAGTACCACAGGTAAGTTATTAAAATTGATAAAATAGATTTTAAAGTGTATTGGGCTTCATATTTATTTACTTTTTCTATTAACCCTTTCATGGTTGAGGGTTTTAGACACGCAAATATGAAACCCAGTCACACTGGAGTAAATAAAGGCCACACAGGTAATGGAATTGCAGATCTTGAGTGGGAGCTGCCTGCTGGCTCCTCTGTTACAAGAGCTGGCTAAGTTTGTCCTGCAGCCAAGGGTTTTGCGCAGCACAGTGGTCTTCTGTAAGGGAACCCTGGTGTGGATCACTGACTCCTTGATGTACAGTGGTCTTCTGGTCAAGGCTGCTGCAACTTTTTGTGCAGGGCCAAAAGTATGTTTCTATTCAAACATTACATTCTAAATTTTACTTCACAAATATGTTTTCTTATTATTTTAAGAGATAAGTATTCACTGGGGAGATTTTGGTAAGCAAATACTGGTAATGATGATATGATTGCACCTAGTACAGATACAGAGAGAATTATTAGCCACCGCAGCTTTGGATTGGAGGATTGGTCAGTTATTGGTAGGATTGATTCTCTGTATTTGAAAACAGAATTTCTTACTACCTCTGATAATTTCCAAGAACAGTTACTGAAGGCCATGTGCTGTGTTGGGCCTTCTCTGTTTATTAGCAAAATCCAACTTGTGGAATATTCCTCTTCTACCGCCTGAGTCAGTTGCACTGAAACTATTTCTCTGAAGAAAAAAACAACCCAAAACCCTAACCAAAACCAAACATAAAACCCCAAAATAAACGTGACCTGAACTAGGGCCTTGTGGGTTCTTCAGAATTTCTTATATAACAGTGTTGCCATTTCTGTTTCTGCCTATTGTGGCTCTGTTTGGATATGTTTACTTCCTTCAAGTATTATTATTTGCAGTGGCTTTTCTGTTTTTACCTTGTAACTGCTTTGCCATCTGAGCTTTCAAAATACGTCTTTCCAGCCTAATGCCACTGGTGAACAGAAGACAAAACCAACACAGAACAGTGTTCGAGCACTGAGGGGTCTAGGCTTGTCTCCGGATCTGGTGAGTCAATAAATGCAGATTTTTATTTACAGGTCATCTAGAAGTGTCCTTGTGCAACGTGTCTTCAAAGTATAAGCCTTAGTGTTCCATGAAAGACAAGAATTTTAGAAGAAATAGAAAATACATGCTTCACTGCTTCACTAAAGCCACAGGAAATCAAATTACTCGAATTCACTTTAAGTTAACTTAATTCAACTAACTCCTTGTGATATCTTGGGACTGTAGCTCTGTTCTTCTGAAGTTCTTTGCAGGGAAATCATTCTGTACTGCTAAAAAGAATCTAAAGTCTCAGTTCACTTTGTGGGAAGACCTAGAATGCCTCTGGCCTCTGTTCTCTCACACATTTCTTCTTATGCATCTATTGCTAAGAAGAAGCAATCCTGCCTTTGAAGTACAGCCTTTAAAAAAATATTCCTGCTTGGAAATTTAAACATATAGGCGAATCTCCAAAGTAAGGTTCCTCAATTTCTGTCATAGAATTGTAGAATAATTTGAGTTATGAGGGACCTTTAAAGTCATCTTGTCCAACTCACTGCAGTGATCAGGGATATCTTCAACTAGATCAGGTTGCTCAGAGTCCCGCCCAATCTTAATTTGAATGTTTCCAGGGATGGGGCATCTACCACCTCTCTGGGCAACCTGTCGCAGTGTTTTACTATGCCCCCTATAGAAAAAATTCTTCCTTATATCTAGTCTGAATCTGCCCCTTTTAGTTTAAAACCTTTATCTCTTATCCTGTCACAACAGGCCCTACTAAAAAGTTGATCCTAATTTTTTTCATAAACCCTCTAAGTACTGGAAGGTCCCACTAAGGTCTCTACAGAGCCTTCTCCAGGCCTGACAAGCACAACTCAGCCTTTCCTCACAAGAGAGGTGCTCCAGCCTTCTGATTTTTGTTGCGTCCTCTGGACTTGCTGGTAAGAGCTCCATGTCTTCATTCCTGTGCTCAGGGCTCCAGAACTAGACACGGTATTCTGGGTGAGGCCTCCAGAGTGGAGTGGAGGGGTAGAATCGCTCCCTTCACATGCTGCTCACACTTCTTTTAACGCAGCCCAACATATTGCAGCTTTCTGGGCTGCAAGCGCACACTGCCGTTATCATGTTGAGCTTCTCATCCACCAGTACCCCGAAATGCTTCTTGGCAAGGCTGCTCTCAATCCCTTCATGCACCACATACTGTAGTGAACCTAAAGCCAGCAAGTTACACCTCATGCTAGTTGGCAAATGATCAAAAACCCAACTCCTTCCGTTTTTTCTCCCCAGTGCTTTAGTTAATGAGTATGTGATCATTCACTGGATGCAGATTTTGTCTGCTGATACTTCTCCTTGGGAACAAAGGGGAAACACAATTAGAATGCAGCTCCCTGTTGTGATACGTGTCTGACACTGATGTTAATCTGCTTGATCAAGTGCTGACAGCAGTGAAGCCAGGGCAGCACAGCTTTAAATGCCAGTAAAACCTCAGTTCAGACTTACGCTCCTGTCTTCCTGTGCTGCAGCTGGTACAGCTGAAAACACACTCTATTTCTAGGTCTGCTTGAGAAACAGAAAAGGACAATTTGGCTCTTTTGTGTGAGGCTATTTGTTACATCAAAGAATATTTTCCTTGCTTGATTCTGGAAGTTCTTGAGCCTTTTCCATTCCCATAAAGTCCGCAGGGAGAAAAAGCTTCCTAGCCCTTGTGTTGTGGCTTAAGCCCAGTTGGAAACTCAGCCATGCTGCCCTCACTCACTCCCCCACTTCGTCCCCCCACTCCTGGAGGGATGGGGAGGAGAATTGGAAGAATAACTCCCACGGGTTGAGATAAGAGCAGTCCAGTAACTAAGGTATAACACAAAACCACTGCTGCTACCACCAATAATAATCATGATAAGGGAGATAACGAAGGAAGAGAATACAACTGCTCACCACCCGCCGACTGATACCCAGCCCGACCGAGCAGTGATCTAGCCCTTCTGGGTAACTGCCTCCAGTTGTACATCCTGGGCATGACATGCTGTGGCATGGAATATCTCTTTGGCTAGTTTGGGTCAGGTGTACTGTCTCTGCTTCCCCCAGGCTTCCCCTCCTCCCTGGCAGATCATGAGATTCAGAAAGTCCTTGGTCAGAGTAAACATTCTGACCAGCAACTAAAAACATGGGTGTTATCAACGCTGTTCCCAGCTGAACCACAGCACTGCACCAGCTACTGTGAAGGAGAAAAATGACTGCTACTGCTAAACCCAGGACACCTAAGAAATGAAAGAGGAGTGAGAATGGTTACTGGTTCTATATATTTATATCTTCAAAGAAGAAAGCTTACTCTTAAAAAAATAGTCACACAATTACATTTTGTGCTGTGCTTTCTGATTTTTTTTTTTATTCTTGCATTTCAGGTTTATCAAAAAAGCATGCTTATAACTACAATATAAGTAGGATATGTGTACATACAATATATCATACAATGTGTACATACAATATATCCTTAGCTTATATAGGTGTCGTGGTTTAAAACCAGACAGAGCTCCTTCACTCACTGTCCCCCCCCCTTTTCTTGCCCTCCCCCTACTCCCGAAGGGACAGAGAAGAGAATCACAAAGAATGCAACTCCCACGGGTTGAGATAAGAACAGTTTAGTAACTAAGGTATAACACAGATCACTACTGCTACCACTAATGATAAAGGAAATAACAAGGGAAGAGAATACAACACCTCACCACCAGCCGACCGATAACTTGCCCTCCCCAGCCCCACCAAGCACTGACTGATACCTCCTCCAACCCTGCAGTCCATCAGCCCTTCCGGCTAACTCCCAGTTACATCCTGGGCATGACGTGCTGTGGTATGGAATACCTCTTTGGCTAGCTTGGGTCAGGTGTCCTGTCTCTGCTTCCTCCCAGCTTCCCCTCCTCCCTGGCAGAGCATGAGGCTCACAAAGTCCTTGGCCAATGCAAAACAACATTGTTATCAGCTCTGTTCCCGAGCCGAAAGTCAAAACTCAGCACTGCACCAGCTACCAAGGAGGAGAAAAATGACTGCTACTGCTGAACCCAGGACAATAGGCTTTATAAGTAGGATATGTGAAAGGATGTCTTGGGTAGCTTCAGATTGTTGTGACGTGGCAACTGTGATCAGCTTGTGTAGTGCAGTGCTGCTCTATATTCCAAGCTTCAGGCGCTAAATTTTGAAATCCCTCTTCAGGGGCTATTTGTGTATGGAAAGTTGCCTGTGATTTTTTAAAGCCTTTAAGATAATTCCAGTGCCTGACTCCCTCCCTGCCCTTCAAATTAATTTTTAAAAGCCTGCTAGGTGTGTGTAATAAAAGAAAAACAGGCTGATCTAGTCACTTTATCGCATCTTCAGTTCTTGCCTGAGGCTGCTGGTGACCACTAAAGCACTGAGAGATTAAACTCTGAGCACAGCTTTTTGGCACTGCTATGAAGTTGCTTGGGCACTGCTTCAAGAAAATCTTTAAATGGTTGCTGTCTTGGGCAGGGGCCCAAGGCCAAAGCAGCACATGGGGAAGATCTTAGAACAGCAGGCAGGAGGGCTTCCATCATAAGCTGTGCTGCCAGGCTGCCTGATCTAAACTTAGCTAGACCTGTTCTTAATACCTGCTGCCTCCCTGCCTGGGCCCAGGCTTCCCTGAGGTGGCATGCTGGGTCAGCCTTAGCTGTGCACCTACAGGAGCCTTTCTGTTTTCTGTGGGGTGTTCTAAGTGCTTAATGAAAACTGCTGTATCCACAGATACAGTGGTCACTGTAACAGTGTTTTGAAGACTGATTATACACTTGTCGGTGCTGCCCTATTCAACTGGATTGTCACACATCTTTGTTTCTTTGAGATCTGCCTCTGCCACTGTAACCAATTCTCTGTGACTGTATTAACTTTAAATTTGTCTCGGCAAGATGGATGATAGATTTCAAAGTGGATTTAATTATATGCTCATATTACCAATTATATATTACTACTGTTTGAAGATTTATGTCTTCAACCAGTATCCAGTTTTTAAGTATAAGTTGTGCTTAATTGAATAGAATGTGCAAATTGTTTCATAATTATTTTATGATTATAAAAATGTGCACTGGTTTTCCCTTATACTTGCCACTGGTTTTCTGTTTCTGGAATTTCTTGCAAGGGTAGAGGAAATTAATTAGATTTTGTCAGTATTAGTGTAACTAAGCTGCACTCTGGCAAGGCAATCAAAGATCAGCTAAGAGTTTCTGAACAAAAAAGGGCTTAATGCACTAAGTAGTTGCACTGGCTGGACAGATGGGGAAAATAATGAGTGAATCAGGATCATCCTACTTTCCATTACACTTTTAGGATTCAAAATAGCTTCATGTAGTAGACTTGAGTAATCAATAAGCACACTGATAGAGCAGTTCTGCGTTTGTCTGAAGTTACATAATGCAAAATAACACCTTCCAACAAACACCAAATCACATGTTTGTTTATTGGTAAAAGTTGCCAATATTTTCTAAAATTCTTAAAATTCTTTAGCAGAAGAGTAACACCAGGAACACCCTACCCCCCTCCCCCCCTCCAAAAAAAAAAATGAAATAGTTTTCTCATCTTCAGCCTTCTTTTTTTTTCATGATATACAAATTAGAAACTACAAAAAGGTGCTGAAGTATTGAAATACTGGAGAACATGCATGTAAGCTAAGTATTGTTGCTCAAAATTTATCAGTTCTTTTGATTGATCATATTATTTGTACTTGTAGAGCTGCTAGACTTTAGGTAGAGAGTATTACAACAGTAATGCAAGAAGGGAGAAGATGAGGAAGCAGTACTACAGGGAGTACCAAAGATTAATTAAAAGTGGGTCAGTATGTGCAGGTGACTGATTTACTTCTGCCTTGCTCGCAGGTATTGGTGAGCTATGATATGTTGTGAAACTCCAAAAGAGAAGAAGAAGAAAAAAAGGCACATAAATTTGTTCTGTGCCTCCAAAGGAGTTAATTTCTCCATGAATAGTATTGAGTGTTCTGTTGGTTTGCCTAGTAAATGCTCAAGTCTTTACCTTCTGTTATGACAGATTGTCTGTAGAAGTGCAAAACCTATAGAAATGGCAGTGAAGGAAAAGATTTCCATGTTTTGCCATGTGGAGCCTGAGCAGGTCAGTACTTTAATATTTTATTCATCATTATTTAAGTATGTGGGAAAGCATCCAAGTATTTCTGTGCGTTTCTGTTTTCAACTTTAGACTGATTCTAGATGACCTTAAGGTCCTTTCCAACCCTAACTATTCTATGATTCTATATTGCTTACAATTTTTATCTTGCTGTTATGTGCTCTATAACACTTTAAAAGTATTGGCAGTTTATATGTTAGATTCTATGTCAAATAATTATTAACAATTTGAGTGGATGTTAAGTGAACAGTTAATAAAAGGAATAGATTTTGAGCACATGGCTAATTCCTATACATGGTTGTGAAAACTGTGCACTTCTGAAGCTATGGTTGGTTATTGTCCTTAAATCATCTCAGGTGGTTATAGTAATGGATGAACGAAGTGTGGGTAAAGCTAGGGGCTTGCTTATGTCCCTAGATCATCACAGACACATGAAGTATCTTACTGTGATAATATTTAATAGGCTGTTCATGCCCTTTAACATGCTTGGAACATCTCCGTGTAGTTCTGTATATTTTTATAATTAATGTGTGATTTTTACATTACTAGTTTGTGATTAATTTCTGTTCAAATACTAATTCTGATAAATGCTCCTTAATATTTATGCGAGTGAGAGCATTTTACTCTTCAATGTAATGGGTAATATAAAAGGGATAACAGATGCCAACAGTTACGCTTTGTTTCAAATATGTGTCCATGTTGACCTGTCTTTCTGCAGGTGTGTAAGAAAAACCTTTTTATAGTAAGATTCCAGATGAGCATGTAGAGGGCAGGGGGCTATTACTCCCACCACCACTCTTACTTCCATCTTACTATCTGTAGAAGTGTACAGCTCCCTTGAGCTAGCTTCTGGAAATCCTTCAGAAATGCCTTTATGGTTCTCCACCCAGAGACAGACAGATGGAAGTTCAGTCAAACAACAATGCTGTGTGCTTTCCTGTCAGTATCAGGCTGTGTGTAATCATGTACACAGTTAGATTCCAACTGCAGTTATGTGACTGGACTAAGAGTCCAGTGTGCCCCTGAACTTCCCTGCAGAGTTCCCTGGCAGGAAGGGGGCTGTCTTCATGATGGTGTTTTGTTTCTAAATTTCTGTCTTTTAGGGTAGAAGCTCAGCATGTAGTATACAAAAATATAGAATGTTATATTTCCTATGAAAAATTATTAGCTAAGTCTCTTACGTTACCCTTTTTTTGTTAGGTGATATTTGTCCATGACGTATCTTCCACTTACCGAGTACCAATCCTGCTGGAGGAGCAAGGCATCATTAAGTATTTTAAACAGAGGTTAAATTTGCCTATTGATGACCATCCAAGTGATCTTCTAATGAGATGGAAGAAAATGGCTGACAGGTATCCTAATTCCTGCTGCTTTTTCAAGAAGTATTTTAATGCAAGTTAGGATTGTAGGTCCCGTGAAGTCACCAAACTCGTCGGGGGACAGTAGCATGTTGCTGATCAACAGCTGTGAATGGTCTGGGTTTAAAAACTGTCAGTTTTGAGATTTTTAGTTGATGACTTGTGAAGTTAAAGGAAAAGCAAACATTGTTAAAATGTTTTCTTTGTGAAAATCAGTCTAATAACCAAAAAACTTGTTTTTGTCAGATATGAAAGGTTGCTGAAGGTATGTTCCATAGCTCTCGTTGGCAAGTACACAAAACTAAGTGATTGCTATGCATCTGTTTTCAAGGCTCTGGAGCACTCCGCACTGGCAATTAATCACAAACTGGATTTAATGGTGAGGATATTTTTGGATTTTGCTTTCAGGGATACTTTGAATATACTCTACTGTACATCATGGGAGGCAGTTTTAATTCATGTGGAAATTAGGAGATGCATCATGCAGATAAATACTAACTGGCCAAACATCCCATTTTTTCAAGAAGTGTGTACAGATTTAGTAATTTTATTTGGATCTAAACATACTTGAAAGGAATAATGCAGTACCCAAAAGGGGATCTGATGAAAAAGCAGGGTTTACCTGCACATTTCTCTTTACATCAGAAGTAGGTTTTGCTCACGAGACTGCTTATCATGTTAGTAAGATTAGCTTGAAGGCAGAAGAAAGCAGGTAAACTGAAAGCAGTTTAGTTTGTTTTTAAAATCCTGTGCCAGAAGCTGTTGCTCTTTATTTCGTTTATTCTGAGAGCTATCCGTTTTATTTTTAGCAGAATTCTGTTATCAGAATTGAGCCATAAACCTAGTAATTCCTCAAATACAGAACTATTTAGGGATGTAGTTTGCCTCTTATTAATAAGAACAGAAAGTTGAACTACATGTGGGAAAAGCTTACCACCTTTCTTGCTGGTAGAATTATCATTTTCCATTGTTGAGTTTGTTCCAGAGATGGCAAGCTCGGAAATTCACTTGAAAATATTAGGTTGTCTTAATGCCTTTAAAAGGTTGCTCTCAGTGGAAGAAAAACCTGTTTTATTGCATGGTTTTTTTTTTTTTATAAGTACATAGATTCAACAGAACTTGAACGTTCTACAGAAGTGGAGAACTCTGTGAAGTATCACCAGGCATGGCACAAACTGTGCAAGGCAGAGTAAGTAGTATTGGGTATTCTGTATCCCAAATGCAAATGATAATTATTTCCTGTGATGAAAAATGCTTCAGTAAATAAGTTTCAGTGCATCCAAACTTCAGTTACTTACATAAAGTGATAGATGTGCGTGGTTAGTGACAAGCTTCAGACATAGCAAATTATAGTATCAACCTTAGCATCTGCTTTTAATCTTCTTAGAGAAGTTTCAGTTGTTTGCTTGGTTTTTTTTTGTTGATTCTTTGTTTTTGATAGCTAGATTTTCTTCACAGTGCAGGTCAATTGCCACAGATTTGTCTTTGTCAACGTGCATCATAGTGAAAGGTAGTTAAATAAAATCTTAGTAAATGCTGGTAACACTTTCAAACATAGAATCATAGAATAGTTAGGGCTGGAAAGGACCTTAAGATCACCTAGTTCCAACTCCCCCTGCCATGGGCAGGAACACCTCACACTAAACCATGCCATCCAAGTCTTCGTCCAACCTGGTCTTGAACACTACCAGGGATGGAGCATTCACAACTTTCCTGGGCAACCCATTCCAGTGCCTCACCACCCTAACAGTAAAAAACTTCTTCCTTATATCCAATCTAAACTTCCCATGTTCAAGTTTGAATCCATTACTCCTTCTCCTGTCACTACAGTCCCTAATGAAGAGTCTATCCCCAGCATCCCTGTAGCCCCCCTTCAGATACTGGAAGGCTGCTATGAGGTCTCCGCGCAGCCTTGTCTTCTCCAGGCTGAACAGCCCCAACTTTCTCAGCTTATCTTCATACGGGAGGTGCTCCAGTCCCCTGATCATCCTCGTGGCCCTCCTCTGGACTTGTTCCAACAGTTCCATGTTCTTTTCATGTTGAGGACACCAGAACTGCACGCAATACTCCAGGTGAGGTCTCATGAGAGCAGAATAGAGGGCCAGGACATCTGTTAGGAATCATTGCCAGGATTTCAGTTTGCATTGTTTGTTGTCAAAGTGCATTTAATTTTTTCAGTGTTATTTAGTAGACATTAAGTTTTGGTGTCAAGATAAAGTAGTGAAAATGTAGCAAGTTTATTTAAACAATAGGTATTTTAAGCAGTGGGAGTTTCCCTGTGAAGCATGAGGCTGGTCAGAGGAGAATTGGGGTGGGTAGATGAGACAAATCTCCAAATTGTGAGTTAAATTCTGTGTATTCTGAATGGTCATATAAAATGCCTTTTGTGCCTTGTGCTTGTTTTGGTATAATTTCAAAAGTCTTCAATTTGTGTGGACTTCCTTTGCTGGCTGGATTCTACATGTTGGTTGCTTTATATATTGGTGTCATTCCAGTGGCATTCTGGTCCCAGGAGGGTTTGGAATTAGGGGAACAGAAGGCAAACTCCAGGCTATTTCCTGGGCAAGAACAAAGAAAAAACCCTTTCTTGGTAAGATCATTAAGAGTCAGAAATTGTTGTGTTTTGGGAGTGTATAGCAAGCTAATTGATCTGATTAAAAAGAAAACAACACTCTGTGGAAGGATCCTGTCTTAGGCAGTATGTGTGCTGTTGTGAATATTTGCCTTGTAGATAATGCCCAGGGTTATAGTTATGTACTATATTTGCTATATAAAGGAATAAAAAGACTGTCCCTGCTTCAGAGGTTTTATTTGCTATATTCACATTTATGTGGAGACTCTTTGTGTCTCGTAATTTAATCAGCATCATTATAGATACTAATCAATGTGCAGAAAATGTAGGTGTCTTTGGACACATTTGCTATATTAAATAATTTTTCTTGCTTTATGGTATGTTTTATTATGGTAAAGTCTAAAGATGCCATCTAGCCTATAAGCTAAGTGCTGTTTGTGTAAGCGCCTCTGAAGCTTTGGTCCCTAGTCCACATTTCTTAACATTTTTTAAGTGACTACTTGGACTAGTTGCCAAAGCAAAATTTGTATCTGGATATACCCAGGATTTCAGCTTCTGTGTGTCTTTACAGTAATTACTGGTAAAATAGATGGGAGGAAAAAAAAATATTTGAAGAGGCTTAAAGCACTTAACTGTGTCACATTTATTTATCAGTGTGCCAAATTTAAAGAGTTTTTTGCATTGAGCAGTCATTTTGGTTTAGCTTGTTGTTAAGTCTGTGTATATACACTGGGTACCAAGATTTCCAAGCAGTCAACTTTAAGACAGAATAGGAAATACTTTCAGTCCTGCTCTTTGCCCTGTTAAATTCTGGGGACTTTGTTTCCTCTTCTAGGAGTTTGTCTGGGAATGCAATTAGCAGTTGTGGAATTTGCAAGAAACTGTTTGAATTGGGAAGGTGAGCTCGGTATGCTTGTGTGACTATGATTTGCTTAGAAGAAATTTTATTCTGTATGTGAAGTGTATATTTATTATTAGAACTATTGTACAGATCCTATCATCATTAGGTACTTAGCTCTTCAACATGATCATTTTCAGCTCAGCACCCTGTGCTAACTTTCTGTACAAGGGGATAAGAACTCTTCTTATGCAGGTTGCTTGAAACCTGCTTCTTGATCTAGCAAGTGTAAGAGAAAGTGTTCTTATAGTCTGCCTCTGTAGTCTCGTTCTGGAGTGTTCAGGTGGTGAAGAGTAGAAGTGAGAAGTGGTTTTCTCACTTGCTTTTATTAGTTTGAGTAGTCAAACCGTAGCTATTGCAGTAGAAGTATGAAGAGATTTAGCTCACCAAATAACTTCTGTAACTGACAGCTGGGAGGAAAAAGTTATGGGAAGTAGGAAAGGCAGTGTGTATGACTGAGGTCATATGCTTCCTGTGATTGCTCGAAAGTGGTGCAGTGTGTGTTTAAACATATAAGATGGTAGCTTAAATGCAGACAATGAAATGCCACAGAACTGTTACGATGCATTTGTATTGCATGTATAACAATGGAAATGTACTGTTTGCCTTGAATGTGTTTCAGATGCTAATTCTACAGAATTTGACCCAGACACAAAAAACCCTGTTGTAAGTACTGATTTATTTTTTTTTCTGCGTTAGTTTTGTGAACATGTATGTTTTGTTAAAAAGGGAGTTAGCTCTGTGTAAGACATATATATAACGTTGCATAGTAACACATGAAAAGGCATCTGTTATCCCTATTCAATATTGTTTAAAAGGGTATTTTCTTCTAATAGTGCCTTGCCTTCACCTGCTTAGTGTGTGATTTGTCTTAGCTTTATGTCTTGTAATTTTTCTAATAGTTTTCTTGCCTGTAGACTGATGCTGGGAGTAGACAATAATGATTAGATTGGCTTTCCTAGAGAATAATATATAAAGAGAAGCTGGAAGTGTAGCACAAAGCTATTATCAAAGTAGAAATTCATATAGAAAGAGAAGGATTGTATAAAAAGCTGTTGAAAAATTCTTGTGTTTCCTTTGTATAAACAGTATAAATAACCACTACACTCCTTCTCCCTTATGAATCTCACAGTCCTCCTTTTGAGAAAAATTTTAGTACTGTAGGTATGACAGGGCTGAATCTTACACCAGTGGTAGAATCTTTTTTTCTTTTTTTCCAGGTATCTCCTAGCTCAGGAGATTATAGTATTACAAGATCATAAGAGTAAAACTTAAAAGTGGTCAGTAAGATAGGGTTTTTAAAAAAATGAAAATAAATACAGGTGAAAAGTGAAGTAGCTTTTTAGTGTCAGATGTAAACATCTGTTCTAGTGATAACTTACAGAGATCTACTGTTCCTGTGTCAGTTCCCTTCAAAAGAGTTTTGTTGGGATTTGTAGGTAAAATTATATATATATATATAATTTTTTTTCCCATAGCTGCTTAGTCTGAAACAATGCAAGTAGGAGTTTTTAAAAGCACTTGGCCTTTTTTTTCTGAGGTTGTTTATATGCTATGTGTGTCATGTTTTAGAGTGTCTTGGTTTAAGCCCAGCTGGTAACTCGGAACCATGCAGTCGCTCGCTCGCTCCCCCCTTCTTCCTCCTCCTGCTCCTGGAGGGATGGGGAGGAAAATCAAAAGAATGTAACTCCCATGGGTTGAGATAAGAGCAGTCCAGTAACTAAGATATAACACAAACCACTACTGCTGCGATAAGTAATTTTAACGGAAATAACAAGGGGAGAGAATACAAGCGCTCACCACCCACGACTGATACCCAGCCCAACCTGAGCAGCGATCTGGGCCTTCCAGGTAACTCCCCCCCAGTTTATATACTGGGCATGATGTGCTGTGGTATGGAATACACCTTTGGCTGGTTTGGGTCAGGTCTGTCTCTGCTTCCTCCTGTCTCTGGTCCTGTCTCTGCTTCCTCCCAGCTTCCCCTCCTCCCTGGCAGAGCATGAGACTCACAAAGTTCTTGATTGGAGGGGCTTTTTAGAGCTAGTTTCATTTAACTTCTTGTCGTGGTTTAAAACTGTGGTGTGGAATACCTCTTTGGTCAGTTTGGGTCAGGTGTCCTGTCTCTGCTTCCTCCTGGCTTCACCTCCTCCCTGACAGAGTATGAGACTCACAAAGTCCTTGGTCAGAGTAAATGATTTAGCAACAACTAAAAACATTGGTGTTATCAGTGCTGTTCCCAGGCTGAAAGTCAAAACCACAGCACTGCACCAGCTACTAAGAAGGAGAAAAATGACTGCTACTGCTGAACCCAGGACACTTCTCATGACTGCATTTCAGATAGTCACCTCAGGTACCTTTTTGGGATACAGCTAGATAACTGGGGATTGAGTCCCCTTTTGGAACTGGTGGTTTCTCTACATTATTGTTAGGATTGTTCACAGCAGCTGGCTCTGATGCCAAGCTCCACACTTAGCTGAAGTCGGGAACGTGGATGCTTATCTGCTGCAGCCCTACTGTCAGTTTCTTCTGTTACGGAAATTGTAGTGTGTATTAGTACAATATATCTAGGACTAAATTTTTATTCCATAACTAATTAATGGAGTGATTTGTGATTTGCATTCAAGGGCAAGTAAGGTATATATGTTAAAGAGAACATTATTTGGACATAAAATTAAGAAAATAATGGCGTGAGTGCATGTGTCATGGAAAGTTAATGCAGTGTTTACAATCAAAGCAGTATGCTTGCAGTATGTATAACGGATATTCTTTTGTTCTGAGCTACATTAAGGTTCTGAAATTGGTTACTACCAGTCATATTTCAGCATTTTAATCTGATCTTTGACATCTCGGTTCTGGGCAAGGAACGGATGTAAATCATTCCAAAGGGGAAATTTGCTCTGTCAGTAGTTATAACTGCTAATAATCTGTCTTAACAGAGTCCATGTTGTGCTAAAATTTAGATTTTTAGTTTAGATATTCTATATAATCACAAGTTTAGATATTCTATATAATCACAAATCAATAAAAACAATCAGAAGAGAAGCAGGTTAGTGAAGCTTGTGAACTACTTAAGTGGTGTAGGTGTTTCATTATTCAAGAAAGTTAGTTCACTGTATTAGCACTGATAATATCTTGCAATGCCACTATGTTGTTCAGCTGAGGGCTAACTTAAGACAGAAGTTATATACTTTTCTTTTGGTTCCTGCTCTGTTGGAAACTGAAGTGGGGGAAGAAAGGCACTAGTAGTAGTAGTGGTAGTAGTTCTATTTGCTTTTATTTTTAAGAAAAAGGAAAAAAGACAAAGTTCAGATATGTAGGTTGGCAGGGGAGCTCAGGGACAGCCGTAAAATATGCAGCTACTTTTGCGTCTCTTAATTTGCTAAGCATTCAGATACTCTTAACCGTACTTAACCAAAGCTGATCGTTTTTTCTGAAGTATGTATAAAATATCTTGGTCTACTTTGCTTCCCTAATGTCTGTGTCAATCTGAACCTTTTTCATTAGAAATAAAAAGTTGGGAATGTAAAGTAACTATGTAACTCAGAATTAGGCTTCCAGAGGAAAAACAGGTGTCTGAAATAATGAAAAACATCACTGGTAGTTTAAATAACACAAGTTATTGTACCACAGAGGAGCATTGTGTGCGTTACTTAAAAGTTTTGAGGATCGTAGAAGTCTTTTATGTGGTAAGGCAATTATGATTTGTTTTGTTTTGAATAACACGCAACTGAAGGTAGAGAGTTGCCTGCAATGCTGAATATGTTTCACTGCAGCTGCTCATGTATTTCTACTGACTATCATTACAACAGTGTTGCTCAACCTGGGTTCTGCAAAAGCACCCATGAGTAACTTTATATAGGAAGGGAACCCTGTATAACCCTGTATAACCCTGTACTGCTTGTTTTGGGGAATATTGATATCAATTATATTGGCATGTAAATGCCTAAGTATCATGAAGTTAAGGTGTCAAACACCTTGGAAAAATAGTAGTCTCTGCATACAAAAATGGAAGCTAATGACTTAGTAGTGTAAACCAGACAAAATTGCATCTTTATAGTACTGTAGGGAATAAAAAAATCCTGAAGCTGAATATTTGTGTGATAAAAACTTAAAGGAAATGAGACCTAGAATTTTAATAAGCTACATTTAACAGATTAGAAGTTGATACTAGATTTTATTTAGGCTTAAACTAGAAATGTGAACTCGGAAGGGGGGAAAAAAATAAAAGGTCTCTGATATGGCAGTTACCTGTATTATCAGACCATACAATTTACACTACCAAAATACCACCTTAAGGTTTTGGCTTGAATTCCTGTTTAACACACATTTGATTTCAGTAGGAAAAATGAGGGAGGTGCATGAGCACTCATCACAGCCCATCAAGTTCTTGATCTCATCTTGGTTGATTATTTGCAGGTCACGTTCCCATTATATATAGTCTTAAGCTTTCTGCTTTACTTCCTAGCCTTCAAAATAATGGTAGGTAAATTGTTACTGTTCTTAGCAGGAAAATAGCTGTTCAGAAAAGTAATGCATTTGCTTGAGAGTAATGCTTAGTATGAATTTTCTGTTGCAAATGATAATTTTAAAATTAACTCCTTCAAAGGGAGACTGTATAGTCTGTAAACTGCTAATGAACTGGATTCACTGAATGGCAAAGGAATTATTTTTTTTGTTCCATTTCCCTTGTCTTCCTCAATTATTAAGCTTAGATTTTTTTTTGGATGAGACTTTTAAGTATGTTCTTTGTCAATTTTATTGTAACTGCATCTGACTGTTACAGGAAAATAAAAAGATGACTCTAGAAATAATTCCAATACACTTCTTTTATTTTTCCTCCATTAAAAAACCTCCAAATTTTAATTGTGATAGTTATTCTTCATGACCTATGCATCTTGTGTAGCATCATGAAACTTCAAAAATTTCACTGGGGAAAAAATGCATTTCCTAAAAACTCAAGAAATTGTGCAGAAATAGATTTTACCAGTAGATGACACTATTGTAACATGTTTGTTCCTTTATGTCCACTTTTCCTATTCAGGAAGTCAGTAACCTGATTGAATTAAAAAATTTCTGAGGTCGCCTAAAAGATGAAAGGAGTGTATGTCCCACTCCTGCAAAAGCACCTTTAAATTCTGTGATTTTACTTATGTGCCTAAAGTAGCTACTGTAGCTTAGTAAACAAATGTGTGTGGGGTATATTTAGTTTTGAAATTGGAGCTTGTTGTTCATTTAGAATATATTTTTTTTCATAAATCAGAAAAAGGTCATAAATATTATTTACTTCTCTTGCAAGAAACATAACACTTTTTAACAGCTGAGGGGTTTGTGTAAAAGAACAGCCCAGGAGCCTATTAGAACATTCATATCATGTTTAAATATCAGAATTTTTGAGGCTTCTATTTGTGCATCACTGGTGTGGAGTAAGTTATTCCTCATTTCATGGACGGGAAATTCAGGGATAAGAACCACTGTCATATGGGATCTTGAACATGCTTGATAGGCTTTGCAAGTAAGTTGAGCCTTTAAGTCCTTAAGTAACTCTGAGATCTCACTGGTTTATGAGGATAATGAATGATGTTGGTGTTAAAATTCAGTTAAAAATTCCAAGTTCTCCAGTAGGATTAGTGCCTAATCCACTGATTTACTTGTCTTCAAAAATTTTC